GGATAAACCTAATTACGATCTTATTTTCTTACTGCACATCTTGTATAGAGATCGGTGACTCGTAACGATTAAGCTCATCTCGCAGTAGCCCTAAATATTGAGGAATTTCTCTTCCAGATATGAATTTTTCATGGCTTTCCTTTATCAAAATTAAAATTTTTATTCAGATAGTTCTTGTAATTACGAGCAGACTGGGACTTACCATGGACATCGTTAAGGCTAAGTGCTGAAAGATCCTTATGCTCAGCTTCGATCAGCGGGACCTTGCCGGAAGTCTTACGGAATGTGAGCATGTAGGGATGTCGAAGGAGATCGGATAGAGAGCAAGGGGAACCCAGAAGGAGATAAAGCATGTTGCGAGCGTGAAAATCTAAACAAATCATAATTAAATAATAGAACAAACATGATTTCAATCTTTTTGAAAAATAGTCGCTATAATAATTGCAATATGGTGACACATAAGCTAGTGAAAGCTTCTTCTTATTTTGACTTGAAGACCATCTACTTTCATCAAAAGTCACTCTAAATACGACAATATGGAAAACACTTGAATTTTTATGAAAAAATTTCGAGCAAAAATAATTTTCATTCGTCTTCAAGAACCTGAACTTCTTCATCCAAGCAAATCATAGCCAAATGTCAAATTTGCTAACAAGCCAGCAAGTATATTGGTGAAAGGACTATTAGCTGAAAACGTCTATGTTTGGACGAAAAAGTCACGAGAAATTATGGGTGAAAACCATCACTTTCCTTCCGTACTATGACGGACCTAACTTTCAGATTAATTAGGGTAATTGGTAACATGTTAGATTTAATCTTTGACACTAAAACTCTTAATAAACTGCAATAAGCTACTTAAAGATGAAACCATACCAACAAGACCCGATTCATTGTTGCCCTGAAGAATTGTCCGCCATTCCAAATCGTTGTGACTTTTGATTTTTGACAAATTTAGGAAAGATTCTTCTTCAAGAAGTAAACGTGCAAGGATAGAGCCGACAGAGGTGATGTCTTCTAAAATTAAACAACTTGGACGCTTATCAGGTGTTTCTTTTGAATACAAGGCAGCAAAAGTAGTATGGTAAGATTTGAAGGGACTAT